TACACAGTAGTTTCACTGCCCTAAATATCCTCTCTGGTCAACCTTGTCCACACTAAGCCTCCAGCAACTTGTCAATTATAGTTTAAGTTTTCCTTTGCAAAGTATTTTTTTCCTTTGCCTTTTAAAAAGATTTTCCCTTTGTTGTTAGTTTTCTGCACTTTGAATGTGATATGTCTAGGTGTTTTCTGCACTTTGAATGTGATATGTCTAGGTGCAGATTTTTTAATATATTTATTCTGCTTGGTGTTCTCTGAACTTCCTAGATCTGTGGTTTGATGTCTGTCATTAATTCCGGAAAATTCTGAGTTATTTTTACTTAAAATATTTCTTCTGTTTATTTTTTTCTTTCTTCTTCTTATATTCTCATTATGCATATGTTAAACTTCTTATAATTGTCCTACATTTCTTATATATTCTTTTTTTATTTTTTTGGCTTTTTAGTTTAGGAAGTTTCTATTGACATATTTTCAAGATTATGTCTTTGCTATGTCTAGTCTGCTGATGAGCCCATCAAAGGCTTTTTTGTTTCTGTTAACTATTTTTAATTTCTATTATTTCCTTTTTCTGTCTTAGAGTTTCCATCTCTGTCCTTACATTTCTCATCTGTTCTTGCATGTTATCTACTTTTTTCATTAGAACCCTTAGAATTTAAATTTAGATATTTTAAATTCCTTGTCTGATAGTTCCAAAGTCTCTGCTGTATCTGAGCCTGGTTCTTATGGTAGCTTTGTCCCTTCAGACTGTGTTTTTCTTGCCTTTTAGCTTGCCTTTTGATTTTTTTGTTGAAAGCTAAACATGATGTGCTGTGTAAAAGTAACTGAGGTAAGTAAGCTTTTAGTGTGAGGTTTTATATTTATCTGGCTAGGAGTTATGCTGTATTTACTGCTTTTAGCTACAATGTCAGAGGCTAAACTGTCTTCTAGTGTCCTTGTTTTTATCTTTCATGTCATCTTTGGATTTCCCTAGAGACTTCTTAACTAGAACCTGAGGCTTGTAGTTCTTCCAGCTGAAATCCCTGATCATAATTCAGGAGCCCTGCTGATGTAGTGGTGAAGTTTGTGGGGAAGGGAAGCAGCCTCTAATCTTATGACTAGGTCTCAGTAATTTCCCAAGCCTGTGTCTTTGGGCAGTGACCATCACAAGTGCTTTTTACCTTTCTGTGTGGCATAAGAAAATTAGAGGGGGCTGGAATTGGTCATAGCCCTTCCCCTACTTCAGTTAGGCTCTGGCAAAACCCAAGTTGCTTAGGCCCTGACAAAATAATTTTCCTTGATTGCAGGCCACTATTAAGGAATACAGAGTACCCTAGGCTTATGTCGCAGTAGTTACTTTTCCCTGCCAGAAGCATAGTCGCTTCCTGTGCTTCTCCCCTGATATTCGAGCTGAGGTCCTGTTGGGGCTTCGGGAGGCCAATGCACAAAAATGCTGTGTTCCCCTAAGGCTGGACCTTTAGGAGTTTTTATCTCACAAGTTAGTCCACAGTTTAGTCTCTAGCATATAATCAATTACTCTGTGTGTTCCTACCAAACTCTAGCAGTGGCTTTTGCTCCTGGTAAGCTGTTATTCTTTGTATCTAGCTGTCTTTCCAATTTTCCGTGTGACTATTTGTCTTGTGACTTAGCTCTCTGATGGATCTAAGGAAAGATGTTGATTTTCTTGTGAGGATCGAAGTAATGACTTCCAAGATGTATACACATCAGACAGGAAATTGGAGTCTCCTCTTGTACGTTTTTAAGATGTGTTGTTTTCTTCGTATTGCATATTTTTCACAATTCTGGATTGACTTTTTGTTTTGTGTGTGTTGGAAGTATTTTCTCCAGTTGATCTTTGCCTTTTAACTCTCGTATGTTTTCTGGGAAAAAAAAAAAGTTGTTAAAGCAGTTCAGTTTATCAACCTTGAATGCTATATGTGTCCTTTTGAAATATGGTTGCTTTTTATGAATTAACCTTTAATCCAGTAATAGTACTGAATTCACTTAGTTATTCTAGTAACTTATCTAATAGCTTTTTTTTTTTGCAAGGGATGTTTCTGTGTATGCAGTATGTCTTTTGCAAATGACTAGATTTTTTTCTACTGGTCTAACACTTTCTTTTTCATTGATAAGGACCTCCAGGATATATTAGTTAGAAGGAGTGATCATTAATTCTTTTTCTTGTTCCTGATCTTGGACTCAAGGCTTTCAACATTTCTTTACTTAGTATGAATCTGGTTTTGGGGGACTATACTTTGTCCTTCAGCAAATTAAGGAAGTTCTCTTTCTTTCCTAAGTTTGCTGACACTTTTTATTATGAGTGAGTGTTGAATTTATCAAACACATTTTCTGTGCTTATTATCTAGGTTTGGTGTGTTTTATGTAAGCTACTTGGGGTTTGTAGGGGTTTTTGAATTTGTTGCTTGCTGTCTTTTGTTGATTTTGGCAAATTCTCAGCTGTTATTTCTTTAAATGTAATTTCTGCTCCATTCTCCATATCTTCTTTTTTTCTCAAAGCCCAAATATGGGCCATTTGCCCTATGAGCTCCACTCTCTATGGACCTGAGGAGAGTTGTTGATTTTCAGTTTGCTTAACTTTTTTTTTTTTTTTTGCAAGGATGGAAGTAATGACTTCCAAGCTTTTTACCTATCAGGTGGGAAATTGGAGTCCCCTCTTGTACATTTTTAACTTTAGACCTTCTCACTAAATCCCCTTTATATCTAACCCTTATGTTACATATTTTCCAACCTTTTGTCTCTCTGTGCTTCATTCTGGATATTTTCTTCTAATCTATCTTCCAAATATATTATTCACTCTTTAATTGTTTCTAATGTGCTGTTAAAACCCATCAAGTTGTTTATTTTTTAGTTCTATAATTTATCTTTTTTTCCATATAATTAGCATGTTTATTTTAAAGGCCATGACTGTGAATTCCAACATCTGTAGCTCCCATGTAGTATCTCTTTTTCTTGTTTTTGTTTTTCTTCAATGTTATTTCTTCATATGCCTGGTTACTAATTTATATATATGTATGTATATGCAACCTTGACATTATATTTACAAAATTGTGTGTAGAATTAGAGAGCCTTAACATAATGCTGTCTCGCTCTAGATATGATTTATGTTTGTTTCTTTCATTCTTCCAGATAATAGGATTATCTCAATCCAACTTAGTAATTGAGATGATTCAAATCTGATTTGTAGTTCCCATGAGAGCCTGTCCTTCTAGTTTACTCCTGCTGTTAGGGTAGAGCCATTTGCTGTCCTTAGCCAGTGTGAGGGGGATTAACCTTGGTCCTCCTACCTTAGGAAGCTTTGATGTCTACTCTGTGTCACCCTAGCCTCCTTAGGGCCTAGCACCTATCATAGGCGGCCCTGACTTATAAATATTTTTTGAATAGATGGATGAGTTTACCACCTGTCAGGCATTGTGCTACTCACTGAAATACAGATTAACTTTTGGCTATTAAAAAGTTGTATCTGGAAAAAATTTTAGAATAAAAATTTATAAATTTCACAAGAGCTTGAAATATATTATTTTAAAGCATTCTATATTTAAGTTGCATAACTCTTGAATGGAATCTTAAATACTTGTATTATAAATAACTTACAAATGACCTCTGTTTTTGGAACTCATGTCATTTGTTTTCATTTTGCTGATCTTTTCTATTATCTTTAAATGTTTCCATTTGTTTTTCTTTTTATTTCAGTTATTTACTTATTAGTATTTTTTGGAACACCTGCTATATGCTGGGAACCCTCCTAGATGTTGGGGTTATGAATATAAATGCAATCTTGTCCCTGCCCTTAAAGAGCTAAGGTCTAGGAGAGAAGCAGTAATGGTGTGAGACAATGGCTAAATGGAAGCTACCTGTAGGATGCTACAGACTGAGTTAGAAGGCGTGTGGGAGTGGGCCAGGCTTGGATAAAGCCAGGAAATGCTAACCTTGAAGGACAAATAAAATTTGTAGAGGTGATAAAGTTTGTTTCAAGAAATTGTTTTTCAGTATGTTAATAACACCCTAACAGACATTTCAGTTTCTCCACTAGCTATTACAGTTTAAAGAGGTATTGACACTTCTGTTTCCCTTGCCATGCTTCCACCAACTATTGGCCTGATAGTAATATTTTAGGCTTTGAGGGGCGTGAGGTTTTTTTCACCACTCTGCCATGAAAGCAGCTGTAGGCAAACCATAAACAAAAGAGCATAGCTGTGTTCCAATAAGACTTTATTTATGGACACTGAAATTAGAGTTTCATCTAATTTTCATGTGTCACAAAATACTCACCTTTTGTCTTTTTAACCGTTAAAAATTTTGAAAACCATTTTTAATTTGCTGTATGCTGGATTTGGCCTGTGGGCCATAGTATGCCATCCCAGCTTTGGGCTATTTTTTGTTTGCTTTTTGAGACGGAGTCTGGCTCTGTCACCTAGTCTGGAGTGCAATGGCACGATCTCGGCTCACTGCAACCACCGCTTCCTGGGTTCAAGTGATTATTCTAGCTCAGCCTCCTGAGTAGCAGGGACTAAAAGCATGCACCACCATGCCCAGCTAATTTTTGCATTTTTAGTAGATATGGAGTTTCACCATGTTGGCCAGGCTGTTCTTGAACTTCTGACCTTAGATGATTTGTCCTTGTCCTCCCAAAGTGCTGGGGTTACAGGTATGAGCCACTGTACCTGGCTGACTAGTATATGTTTAAACTAAAAATATATAAACTTTAAAAACACACACACATACAAAAGTAACCAACACATGCTTGGTGTAAAACTAAAGCCTTTCAGAAATATTACATAGAAAATGAAAATCTTCCCTTTCTCCTCCCCCTGCCCCCCCCCCACCGCTAAATCTCAAGCCCTATATAATAATTGCTTATAACAATTTGGAATATATTCTAGAAAATTTTTTCTGTGTACATATTAATTTTTATAAAACTGGGTTTGTATCGTATCACCGGTCTGCACTTAATCATGCACTTAGCAATTTAGCCTTTTAAAATCGATTTTGTGCTGTTGTGTTTTCAAGGTGCGAAAGGCAGTTGAGGAAGAAAATTGCTGCTTTGGAACTGTTGATACCTGGCTGTTATATAAGCTCACAAAAGGTAAAGGTAACCTGGAAGATCTATTTTAAGTAACTGAAATTTGATCAAGAAAAATGATTTACCCAAAAAAAGTAGAAGCTACTTTTTTTTTTTTTTTTTCTGAACTAGGTTCTGGCTCTGTCAAGCAGGCTGGAGTACAATTGTACTCCATGACTCACTGCAGACTCGACCTCCTGAGGCCAAGCGATCCTCCTGCTTCAGCCCCCTGAGTGGCTGGGACTATAGGTGTATGCCACCACACCTGGCTAATTTTTTGTATTTTTGGTGGAGGCAGGGTTTTGCCATCTTGCCCAGGCTTGTCTTGAACTCCTGGACTCAAGCAATCCATCTGCCTCAGCGTTCCAGCGTGCTGGGATTATAGGCGTGAGCCACTACATATGGCCAGAAGCTCCTTTTTTTTTTTTTCCTTCCTATACTCAAGACGTACTGCTCTTTTTTTTTTTTTTTTTTTNAATTGCTTAAATTTATTGAGGCTCAGGGTTTTTTTGTTTGTTTTTCTGTTTTTTTCTTTGAGATGGAGTTTCGCTCTTTTTGCTCAGGCTGGAGTGCGATGGCACAATCTCGGCTCACCGCAACCTCTGCCTCCCGGGTTCAAGCAATTCTCCTGCCTCAGCCTCCTGAGTAGCTGGGATTACAGGCGTGCACTACCACACCCAGCTATTTTTGTATTTTTAGTAGAGACGAAGTTTCTCCATGTTGGTCAGGCTGGTCTCGAACTCCCAGCCTCAAGTGATCCACCCGCCTCAGCCTTCCAAACTGCTGGGATTACAAGCATGAGCCACCTTACCCGGCTCGTACTGCTCTTTAGTACCCTAATAACAACATGTTGTAGTAAAGCTAGTCTTATTCTAGATTTGTTATAAGAGGAGGACGGTTTTTAAATAAATTGTGATGAAACCTCAGCATAAGACTGGGGACCAGTCTTAATTTCAAGGATGATAAGATGAGTTCAGTGACAAATCTGTCATCTTGCTAGTGGTTATAACTATGGGTAACATTCACATCTTTAAGCCTCTTTGTCATCTTTAAACTGGGGGATCATAAAGTGACAACATGTCTGTAAGTGCTTTTGCACAACTATAAACGTTCATAAAGACTAAGTGGAAAATTGCTTTTGGAGACTGCATTGAAAATACACATTTTGGAATGAACTTTGAGGGTCTGGATTATACACTAGGGATAGGTGTTGATTTATGTTATCTGATAATGAATGTATTATTTCCTATTAAATTTAGGTTCTGTATATGCCACAGATTTTTCAAATGCTAGTACAACTGGACTTTTTGACCCATATAAGGTAAAATTTTTTTCTTCTTTTTGAATCATACATTTTTGTGTAATATAGATAGATTTAGATTTTCTAAATTAGCTTATTTTTAATTGATGAATATATCGTGTACAACATGATGTTTTGATATATGTTTAGAGGTTTGATATATGTAAATATGTATATTCTGATGATATGTTTTTATGCTCAGATGTGTTGGAGTGGGATGATTACCTCTCTAATTTCGATACCACTTTCTCTCCTACCTCCTGTGAGGGATACAAGGTAATAATAAACATCAGACATAGAAACCACCACAGTGGTTCTTTCTTGAATTCATTTTGTTTTGTGGGGAAAAGTATTTTATTATATGTTTGAAGGACTTGTATGTTCATTATATAACTTTTGGGCTTATGCAAAAAAGCGATTTGCTCAGTTTTAAAACTAATATTTCTAGAACTGTAACTAACTTTTTAATGAATTTTATTTGAAGCCACAATTTTGGATCAGTGGATGAAGAGATATTTGGTGTGCCTATACCAATAGTTGCCTTGGTAAGTAGAAAACTTGAGGGGTTCCCTTTGTATGGAATAAACTAAAGTAATATGTATTACTTTAAGAGAAACAGAAAGTCTTTAGCAGAGTAAGCTTAAAGTATTTTTTTTCTTTTTAAGTTAAAGATTCCTGGATATGACCAGTGTATCCTCTATATTTTTGGGAAAGGGACCATTGAGCTTGTATTCGATCATGGAAATAATTCATAACCTTTTCTGACTTGCCTGTATGTTGTTTATTAGAAAACTGTTAAATTTTTTAAAAGATTTTTAAATTCTGAGTAATATTCAGTTAACATTTGGTACTATGAGACAAAACACAGTGACAGGGCCAATATTTGCTTTCTGTTTGATACAGTGTAATTGCAAACAGTTTTAGGGCAACTTAAACTAACAGAGAAAGTTGTAGGTACATTTAATAAAATCCTTAGCCAGCATCTACCAGTAAAGAAGCTT